TGTATTAAAATTAAAGTGGGGGAGGCACGCAGGAAGGAAAAGAAAACTAGAAACACAATAGAGCCTAGATATAAACCAGTGAAATCATCAGTGAACCCTGGTACTAGAAACATTTAACCTCTTCACACAGTATTACGAACTCAGGAAGATAAGGCTAGGCAAACAGAATTCATCCACAGCAATTTTAAAGAGGCCAAGGTATCAGATATCAGCATTACTGGGGAGGCGGGGGAGAAGCATTTATAAACAGGATGGTCTCTGGAGAAAATATGCCATGCAATGTGATTCTACGTACAGGTATATGCTGACCATAATAGAAAAATGACTTGACAATTTATCTGCCAGCTGCTACAAATTCCCCTAATACTTGACACTGGTAGTATAAAAGGCAACCTCTCCAAGTTCAGTACACTTTAACGCTGACTACTTCACTTTGAAGAAGTGCCTTTGAGAAAGCAGCCATTTCAAAACAAAACAAAACAAAACAAAACAAAAACTTCATTTTGTATTAGAAACTAGTGAAATTTAAATTTGCTTTGTATTACTTTTTTACATTCAAAGAATGAGCCTAAGGTTCTAAGCATCATTTTAACAATTATAATGTTACAAGTTAATGTTGTTTAAAATCTATCTTGATTTGAAAATAACACTTCAGACAAATGAAGTTCCATTTAATTATACTAATTCTATTGGTTTTTGTCCCTGTAAGTGTATATAGATATACTCAATTATTCATAAAACATTTTCAGTTGATATCACTGCTACTTTGAGAATCACTGGTTTAGTTTTTGTTTGCATATTTCCACTGATTTGATAAAAAACAAAGCCAATTTTCATCATCAGAAAATTTCACATATCACACTTAACGTGGACCAGAAACTTATGTTTCTTATCCCTCTTTTTCTTTCTTTCTTTCTTTTTTTTTTTTTTTTTTCCTTTTTTTGGAGACAGACTCTCACTACATTGCCCTGGCAGGACTGGAAGTTGCTACATCAAACTGGCTTCTAATTAAGAGATCTAGTTGCCTCTACCCACCATGTACTGGGGTTAAAGGGAAAACAAAAACAAACAAATAAATAAATAAATAACACCTTAAGGTAATACACAACAATTCTATTCCTCTTGAGTGGCAGTCTCACAAATATTTGAAGACTACTTCTTAAATTTATTGTCTTCAAAAATAAATGCTACCTATTCCTTCAACTACATCATGCTATACACAGGCCTTTGTGACTCTCTTACTGTGTAGATTTTCAGATTTAATGCGGTGATGTACAATTTCCAGTCTAAACAGCAGCATGTATGTGGCTTATTAAGGCTCCTTAGCATGGTTTCTAATGACAGTATTTATTTTGGCAACTATACTATAAACAACATTTTGAAAATGCCTAGGTCTGTAGAACACCTAACGAGGTGTTCTGTGATCCTCAATGACAAAACAGTAGTACAACTAAAGTTATTTGAATTCAATTTTTCAGCTGGATGGGAGTGGAACACACTTTAATTCCAGCACTCTGGAGGCAGAGGCAGGCAGATCTCTGAGTCTGAGGCCAGCCTGGTCTACAGAGCAAACTCCAGGACAGCCAGGGCTGTTATACAGAGGAACCCTCTCTAAAAAAAACAAACAAACAAATGAAAACCCTTTCTCCTTTATTCTGAGTTTACTTGAGGTCATTGTTTCAATAAAATGAAGAGTAACAGAAAAAGGTACTTTTTCAAGTCTTTATATGGCAAAAGTCAAAAGTCAACAATCGTTTTTAACGTATCCTTGAGAGGCCTGGTGATACACACTTGGAATCCCAACATGGGGAAGCTGGGGACAGCCTTGGCAACACAGCAAGGCAAACAACTCATTACTTTCACTCCTGACTAGTTGACAGCAGCAAAGTAAACTCAATGAGATTCACTCAGTATATAAAAGGTCTTCAAGGTGCTTTGACATTAATCTCCAAGAGTTCCTAATTTTTCCCTACTTCCCACTTACCTTTCTGAACATTCAGTATGACACTGCATTAAAAGAAGGCATACATGGCAGAAACATAAAGCCACATGTTGCAAACTATTGCTAAATTATAGCCAACTCTGAACTAAAATGAATTATGCCATCTAGAGTAAGAAATGTTAAATTATGGTCTGTAGGCCAATTTCAACATCCCATCTTAATATAAATTAAATTTTTATTAAACATATACGCATTTGCCTGGTTACATGTTGTCTATGGCTGATTTTATATTACAATGGCAAAGAAGGAGAGTTCGGATAAAAGACCATTGTGGCATATAAAGTCCAAAATAATTACCTGCTCCCTCACAGAAAACATCAGCCAACCCCTAATCTAGGGGAATGAACTACATGCTTCCAAAGCAAACTATGATAACTATAATCATAATCATTAACTAGAGCTCAGGAAATAACATCCTTACTGTAATGTACACACACAGGCACTGGACTGTCTCACTGGTTCTTTACTGTTACCAGGGCTTATTGTTTCCAGGACAGAGTGCTCACTTACCTGTTCACTTATCTCTAGAGTAACATTTAAGGACTGACCAGTGCAAAAGTAGGGGACTCCATGAATACATTTTGTTTTTTGTTTTTGTTTGTGTTTTTTGTGCAATCTAAGGTAAATAAAAGGTTGCTGAAAATAATTCAAAAAGTTTTCAACAAAGGAACTGTAACATAGAACTACATGATAATTTTTTTCACATTTTATATTTGAAATACAAAACTTTTAAAGGCACTTAAAATAGGAAGGCTAAGTCCAATAATTTAGATGTTACCTTCATTTAATAAAGTGAACTAATTTCCGCTTTCTCAGAAATGACAAGGTTTTCACTTTCATTTTCATATGTAGAGCTGAAATAAAAATATCTAAATCAATCACATACCAACTTAACATGTGATGCCAAAATCTATTAAAAACTAAAGTGGCAAAGTCAGCAGTCTGAAACTAAAAAGGGTTTAAGAGGTCATCTGCACACTCTACAGATGAGGAAGCGTCAAAACAACATAAAAACACCAGTTTAGAGAATTAGTTAGTGGCTGGGACAAAACGAAAATACCGCTATCAGTTTAGAACTGTTTCTACTCCAGAAACAGGTAAGTTTTTAAAAAATGATTGTTCAAATTCTAAGAAAAAACACACTGATGTTGGAATATTCTAGTTTTAAAAGAGCAGTACAAGCTAGGCACAGTACGCACGACTGCAATCCCAGCACTTGGGAGGCTGTGACAGGAGGATCATTCATGAGTTTGAGTCCATCCTGGGCGACACAAATTTTCGGGTCAGTATGGTATACACAGACAAACCATATCTCAATGCAAATAAACAAAAATGTGCAGTATAAAACACTCCAAGTACTAGACATCTCTTATGTTGTTTAAAAAAAATTCTAAATTTGTAGAAAGACAATGATTAATTAGAAAACAATTTTTTTTTTTTTTAAAAGAAACCACCAACTACTTGTTTAACAATTTGTCAAAAATTAGATGGCATGATGCTGGTGAGGGGGTGCTGCTACTCTGGTATAATCTACTGAAAATGTAATTTGGCATATTTTAAAGGGCCTATGAAATTCTAACCATGTAAACCATTCATTTCATTTTCACGATTATATGCTAGAGACTGGGTCTAATTCAGAGTTAAAATTTTACATAGAATGTCCATCCCATTATAAAAATGTGGAAGATTAGAAACAGCCTAACTCCAAAGAAAGAACTGACTATTTCCATACAGTTAACATATCGGCAGCTGTTTTAAAATCGTGCTTGAGGAGACATAGGTAGTAGGGACCTAGGAGGGCATAACGCAACTGTATGAGCACTATAATCTCAATTCTGTTATTGTACACACAAACACATACATACTCATAAAAAGCACAAGGACTAAAAGTAAATACAGAAAAACATTTAACAGTGTTATCTCTGGGTAGTGAGATTGTAGATAATTGTTTTTTTTTTCTTCTGTCTTTTCAGTATTTTCAAATTTTATTCTCAGAAAACATTATTTTAAAAATTCACTATTATCAATTCAGAAATTTTTATAATCTGTATTAAACAAGGAATAAATATTATAGTACTCAAAAGTATATCCAAATAATGGAAAATAAATTATTGACGTATAAGAGTATAATCCCTACATGTATAAGTAGGGAATTTGAATCTAAAAGGTACTGTTTTCTCTCATTCTTGAGTATAGAAAATTGATATTTAATAAATAAGAAATGCAAGTCTCCAAAGAAAACTGGTGCAAGGCATCTAAAACGTGTGCTATTTGGGCATAACCCTGAAGACACAAACACACTGCAGTGTGATACAGACACCCAGGGCTATGTTAAAACAGGTGTAATGAACACACACAATGACGTAATGGTTACACTTTTTCTTGCTAAAATGACTAGAATAAATCTATGACAAAGAAATACAACACCATACCATTATTTTAGTTGGAAGAGCCGCACCAAAAATCATGGTCCCCCCCCAGCAAAAAACAATTTTTTGCAGGACTATATGAAGGCCAGTAGGCCTTATTACTATTATTATTAATGATTTCTTGCTAAAAATTCAAGTAGAGAAGTTGCTTAAAGCAGTAAAAACAAAACAAAACAGTGCTATATGGTCTGCAATGACTTGAAACACACTAATGACACACTTCAATGTTTCTTCATTTGCAGACTATCAAACAAAGTAATTGAAGTAAAGGACTAAATCTGTTTTTAAAGCATCCTTGAGTTTATATTCTACTACAATATAATAATGACATGAGGCTATGTCACACATAAAAAGGCAATGACTATAATTTTGAAAGTTAACTTTAAAATTATATGACTATAATTTCTGTGATTTAAAAAAAATCACATAAATGTAAAAATAAGATACATTCTAACATTCTTACATAGGAGCTGAGGCTTGCCATTTTAACAAAAATTCTGAATGGAATTAATAAAAAAAAAAAACCAATTTCCATTTATACCACAAAGCAATAAGTTTAAATCAGACTCTTTTGAGTTGTGTAGCCCTTTATTAGCAACTAAAATAGAAGGTATCTGTTGTACAACATGGGTAGTAATCATCTATAACTGGAGACTTCTTATATTCTAATACAGATCATTTATAAATGCAGTTTCTTTTATTAAAATGGTTCCACCCTTCGTCTGTGTACAATTTGCAAAACTATTCTGAAAGCGGAATATATGTGCATGAGTCTGCAAAGAGTGCAAATTTCAGTTATGCTAAATGCTTTATAAGTCACTGTGTGCCAATTGGGCAAATATTTTGATTCCAGCCTTCCTTCCACTGCCCCAAACTATAAAGCATTTTTTAAATGAGTTGAAATTAAGGAGGACTACACCTACTAGAAAAGAAGAAGAGAGTTCTATTAGTCTGAGGTTTCAGAGTCCCCCCACACCAAAACCACCATCGTGGTAAAGGCTAGGCTGGACCCTGGACAGAGTAGAGTCTGTGCAGGTGGTGTCCCTGAGGGTCGGAGCTTCAGTGGACTGTGAGTGCTCCAGCTGCATAACTCACTGAACTGTCTTGCCAGCTTCTACACTGGCTTGACTGGGCATAATTCAGAAAGGAAAAGCTCATGTTCATCCCATTCTTCTGGAGCTCTGTGATAGCCTAAAAAGAGAAAGTAGATTATGACAGACATCATATAAAAAACTGAACACTGGAAATTTTGGCAGCTTGACTTTGCATATTGGACAATCAACTTGTGTTACCTTTTCTTAAATATCTGCTGCCTCATACTAAATAGAGAAAAATCTCATTATCTCATTCTTGTAAGAAGTACGCTCTAACCTAACTTCTTAATAATTAGTATATGGTTTTCTCTATTCTCTAGATCTTGGCCACTTCTATGTTAATATCCTGAAGTTTTTTTTGTTTTGTTTGTTTTTGTCCAACTCAGAGTGAATCTGAAATGTATATTTAACTCACAGGTATAAAAAGTATGCTACGGTTTGTACTTTTACTGTGTACTGTTTTATAATTTCTTTCATTAAACAAAAAACTATCTGATTCAATTCAGATTTTGGAAAATTTGTGCAGCTTACTCTAAGTTCCAGAAATTAATTTAGCTCCCTAACAGACTTTTCTTTCAATCAATCTGAACTATTTTAACAGGATAAAAAGGCTTCCTAAAAATCTATAATATATGACTGCCAAATCATGTTGAAAAAACAATGACCTTCCAGCTCCTTTTTGACTATTGGCTGCTTCTTTTCTATACCTTTCCAAGTAAATTAAATGAGCCCGTTGATACATTTTCTCATTATAAAGAGTCTGGTATTTTAAGAAAATTCATGTTTGTTAGGAGGTAAATTTTAGCTTTCTAAAATCTTGACATACTTTTTTTGTTTTGTTTGTTTCTCTGTTTGTTTCAGACAAGGTTTCTCTATGTAGCTCTGGCTGTCCTGGAACTCACTCAGTAGACCAGGCTGGCCTCAAATCACAGAGATCCGCCTGCTTCTGCCTCCCAAGTACTGGGATTAAAGGCATATGAGCCACAATGCCTAGCATCTGATATTCCACAAAGTTTTACATTTTATTATTGTTTATAATAAAAAAAGCTAGCAGGGCATGGTGGCACACACCTTTAATCCCAGCACTCAGGAGGCACAGGCACATGAATTGCTCTTCAAAACCAGCCTGGAAAAAGCAAATCCAGAACAGCCAAGGCTACAAAGCAAAACCCTATCTCAAAACACCAAGAAAGAAAGGAGATATAGATAGATAGATAGATAGATAGATAGATAGATAGATAGATAGACAGACAGACAGACAGACAGACAGACAGACAGACAGACAGACAAAAGAAAAAAATAGCTGGGTGCAGTGGCACACGCCTGTAATCCCAGAACTGTAAACTCTGCCTGTAATGGCAGAGGCAGGCAGCTCTCTGTGAGTTCGAGGCCAGAATGGTCTACAGTGTGAGTCCAAGACAGCCAGGGCTACACAGAGAAACCCTATCTCAAAAAAAGAAATATAGAGAAAAACACAAAGATAGAGACAGAGAGAAAGAATCTATTTTGCATTATTAAATCACAAAAAAAGCATCCATTTAATGTCTTATAGTGACTAAGCCATTCATGTGTATATGCACCCATGTCTGCACATATGCACAAACCCAAAAACCAATCTTCTGAAAAAAAAAAAAAGTATCAGAAGTGACTGAGTCAAAAGAAGATATGACTCTCTTCTAAATAACTGTGTTGACAGAAATTATTCATCTGTATTCCAGTAATACATTTATTCAAATAAAAAATAATAGAAATCATTAATTAGGTTAAAAGGTACCAGGAGGGCTGAAGAGATGGCTCAGTGGTTAAGAGCTCTGTCTGCTCTTCCAGGGGTCCTGAGTTGAATTCCCAGCAACCACATGGTGTCTCATAACCATCTATAGCCTCTACTGCCCTCTTCTGGCGTGCAGAAGTACATGCACACAGAACATTCAAGATTAGAGAGAGAGATCTTTACACCCCCTTCCCCAAAAAAAGGTACCAGGAAGAAAGTGATGCTATGGACACAAAGCCAATGATGTTATCAGTGTACCACAATAATAACAGTTTAGATATTTTGAAATAGGACAGCATTAGATGTTAAAAGTCAGGGTTCCTAAGAATACTCACATTTAATAACACCCCGATGGGATGTCTTCCACATATAGTATTATGATATTTCTTCAAATAATTGCTAAAAGATACAGGATCTAATTGTTCTATAATACTCATACCCTAAAAGAAAGAAAACAAAACAAAGAAAAGAAGACAAAACTTATTAAATTATATTTTAAATTTACTTATAAATTTCTCAATTAAAAATAAACAGTAAACAGTAACCAATCCTTTAGAAAATACCAAAATTATTCATGAAATGTAATCTCATAATAGTTAATCACTGATAGAAAAATCCAGGTTATTTTCTAAGTTTGGATGCTTATATATCATCTTTACCAGTTGACACTGACCTCACAACATATTTCAATGTTTTCCTACATAAAGGACAATTACAAAAATGACTCTATTAAAAGCTTTCACAAAAAATCTGAAACTAAATTTGATTTATAACTATTTAAAGCTGTAAGTCTGAATTATAGCTGTGTAGGAGTTTAAATGGTCAATGGTTATCCAGGTATCTAATAAAAAAAAAAATACAACAAACTAAGAAAATAACAGTTTGTTTCAAAACTCCTAGGCAGATGATGAGTTCAGTAACAGATCTCATAAGAACCAGTTCTAAGAAAGACAGCTTTTTAACCTTTTTCAAACCAGTGTTTTTGAAGATTTTAATTAAAAAACTTTAGGGTACTAAAAAAAAAAAAAAAAAAAAAACCCATGAACGGAACACTTCTTTATACTAAATTTTACAATCTCCAAAAGCATTCACATTTTTAAATGATTTATTTATTTTTATGTGCATTGGTGTTTTTCCTGCATGTATGTCTGAAAACGGTGTCAAATTCCCTAGAACTGGAGTTAACAGACCATTATGGGCTGCCATGAGGGCACTGGGTCTTCTCAAAGAGCTGCCAGTGCTCTTAACCGCTGAGCCATCTCTCCAGAGCATTCGCATACTTTCAGTTGTTTGATATTATTTCTTTGTCTGCACACATGCACACAACAAGAGACTGTAGCCATTCACTTGCCATGGCATGAGTTAGAGATGAGGGGAATCAATTCTCTCACTCCACCACGTGGGCTCCAGGGACTGAACTTAGGCGTACAGGCTTGGCTGTAAGCATCTTTACCCACTGAGCCATTTTACAGCCCACATAACACATGTTTTAACCCATTAGAACAAAGCACCTCTGTTCACTGAAGTAAGCAAGTAAATCTATTTTGTTCACCACACCATATATGATTTTATCTAGATCAAGCCCTTTTTATATTTGTGTTCAATACACTAGATTGATGACTTCTGGGAGAAATGTAAATGGTCATTTCAGTGGACTTAACTGGCAAATTCAATGTGATTGTTAAAGTCTATTCATGTCTTAAAAATCTAACAACACAGAGTAACCAGATGAATTGCTCTAAAAAGAGCCATCTGGAAAATGACAGCTACTAATAAGTTTTACAGTGGAAGCTTCAAAAGCTTAACTGTACAAAAAACTTTTTTTCACATCTTTCATAAACACTATCTATTTTAGAAAATATACCAGAGACATAAGAATACAAGTGTAGAATTACTTTGCTTATACATTAATTAGTCAATCTGTAACTAGTTCTTAATGCTATACTGTCTTTCTCCTGACACCCAGGGACCCTTTTTGGGTTAATAACATTTGGCACAAGCTTAAAGAAATATTAACAGTTAAACATAAAATACAGAATATGATACAAAGAAAGAGTTTAAAATTAAACCAATAAGTAGTAATCCTAAAATGGATTTTTAACTCTCGTCCAGAAATATGGGTAGTCAAGATATAACTTTATATGCATGAAATGGGCACATAAAGTTCCTACTCCTATGTTCTCTATCAATAACCATTGGCTTTATCACAGTATAACAAGAACCACACTAATGATTCTTCACACATCAATGTAGCTGCAACACAATAAGAGATTAAAATGCTCCTGAATGAAGACTAGGACAGTTAGCCATAAATTGAATCTACTTACTGGTTAGCTCTAGGATGAAAAGTTCCAACATACATCTTAGTAATACAATCTCCAAGCACATTTGGAACAAGCATCCTACTTATATACTGATATGAATTCAAAGAGAAGAAAATGAATTACATTTAAAGCAATGAATTTTAAGTAACTGGCCAAGAATGCCTTAATGAAGAGTTAAATATTATGAATGTAGAGAAGACACTACTAAAGAACTCAAAATAAAGATTAAACTGGTTAAACTATAAAGATAAAATGGAAAATACAAAATGAAAAATGGAAACCAAGAGATGTTAAATTTTTAATTATTTCAAATGTATTAAGTGCCTACTAGATAAGAATTAATTTCATTCCATTCAATTCTATGACAAACATGATGATTTAATGCATGTCTTTATAAAGAGAAGATAGTTGAAATGGGGCTTTTCTCATGAGTGAACCTCTCCAACCCAGAAAACTTACAAAATACATAAATAAAAGCATGAGGTTAAAATTATGAATGGGACATCCACTGACCAGTAAATAACACTGACAAATCACATATACTTGATGTTCAGTGTAAAATTACTAATATCAAAATTCTAAGAAGAAAAGTGCTAGAATAATGCTATTACCAGAATTGCAAGATGATGAAAAATGCTTCCCAAATATATTTAGCTAATCATGTATGTATTATGTATTCCTAATTATATATTCCTAACAACCATGGGAGTTATGATTAGTGGGGCCTCATATACTAGAAACTTGATTATCTGCATAAACCCAATATGCAATGGAATGTGTCATCACTTATTTCAGCTTCAAGTTAGGAGATATAAACACCAAAACCTATCTGCCCATCAAGAGTACAAAATATTTTATAATTTAGCAACTTTAGCTAGAAATCTGCAGAACACATGCTGACTCTCCAAACAATGACTAAAAAACTGTGGTATCAATTTCCAAGGGTCAATCTGAAACTGAACAGGCAATACTGAAAAGCTGCAAATTCAGAATTCTGATAATTATCCTCCCATTTTTAAAACAAAACCAATACCTACCTATACTTAAAAAATAACTACTGTTATTAACACAGAAGCAAATCTTATAAAGTAACAAAAACAAAAGTTATATAAGTGTGTGTGTATACACACACACACACACACACACACACACAGGCATGTATAAGTAAGAAAAAAAAAAGATGCCTTTTTAATAATGACCACTTAATTATCAAGTATCAGAACTGAAAGCCCATTCATTTGAAGATAGATACTCATCAGGGAAAAAAAAATGTCCTAGTTCCCTGAAGAGGAATCAAGACTTTTAACAGTACAAATAATCCTATGCCAAGAACAGATCAAACCCTATCCTAAGGCATCAGTGTTAGGAATCAACGTATTAATAAGTGGCTCCCTTGCAGAGAATGCTGTCAGCCTATAAAGAAGATATGTCATAAAGTCAAGAAAAGAAGCATGACTTAGTAAATATAACAATTTCTTTCAAGATAGTAGGAAAAAAAGGGAAGCAGCTGATATTCAAATTAAATAGTGATTAATAAGTTAATAAACTGAATGGCTGCAATGGCATTTTCAGATTCTCCCTGACAAATAATTTACAACATTAGTAATAAAACTCCCCAAAGTTCATATAGTAAAAAGGTATACCCAAAATTACCATAGCAAAAATGATATCACACACTATATATTCAAAATACAAGTAATTATGCTTCAACTTTAAACAATCAAAAGTTTTTAAGATTGGTGTCTTAAAATACATTCTGCCTGTTGGTATAAACACTGAAGTTACAAAATACTATTTACTAAAAAATAGTTTAAAAAACTATTTACCAATAAAAACTATTATCAATAAAATGCTACCAATAAAAAACTATTTACCAATAAAATCTTAAGGCTTTCAAATTGTAATCTTCTACACTATATTTTCCCAACTATACTAGTTATAATACATACTTTATTTCACTATGAACACTTATCTTTCTATTATTTTTTATATTTATATTTATGTTTAGTTCCCAAGACATTCAAAGGTTCTTTTGCAACTTAAAAACAACCTACTTTTTAACATTTAAACAGCAATAAAGATTTTTTCAATTAAAAACAAAAACTCAAACTTGATTAACTCAATAATTCTGAACAGATACTATATAAACTCTGATAATTAAAAAGTTTTATTAGCCTACTGGACTTTGAAAATAAATAGTTCTTACAGGTTGAACATTCTTTATTTAAAATACTTGACTGCAAAAGTGTTTCAGATTTTTTTAGTAGATTTTTGAATATTCGTGTGTAAATAATATATTCTAGAGATGGGAAAGTTCTAAACACAAAATTCATTAATACTTCATATATGCTTTATACATCTCCCTGCCTCAGATAACTTGATATAATATTTTTAGTGTGCTTCCACTTTAACTGTGACTTGTCACAAAAGTGCAGGTGTTCAATTTTCACTTGTGATGTCATGTCAGACATCAAAAAAGTTTGGGGGGGGGGCATTTCAGAGTTAAGATTTTCAGATCATGGATACTCAACTTTTATTATATTCAGAATTGCTAACATTTTTATACACTTAAAAAACCTCTTAAGTTTATTTAGAGCTAACCATTATTTGTTTTCATACACTAATTCTAAGAAGTAGCTTATAAATAAAATTAACATGTGCTAATAAAGACAAGACACATTTAAGAACATTTTTTAAATTCTACACATGAACAGACTTTGAAGTAAGTGGACAACAAAAATCAAGTTGAAGTCAAATGTTACTTCAAATATTAAATTCAGGCACACTAACCAACAACACATAGTCTACATTTGCTTTGGAGTTCTATCCCAAACTTTTTAAATAAAAGTTTCAAGTAATGTTTTGGTAATCTGACATCTATGGAAATTTGGGGCAAACTCAGAAGTCAGCCTGGGCTTACTGGTTCTACTATACACTGCTGACTCTTTAACAAAACTTTCCTTTCTAAGCTAAACAGAAATTGTTCCAAGAAGTCTGCCCATCTTCTAGTCAACAGATCAAGGGAGGTTAATACAAACTCACCTCAGAGTTAGAAAGATACTGAGACTAACACCACAGAGTGGGCAGGTATGGTCGGCTCCATTCGGAGTTCCCTA